GTATTCTTCCTGAAGAAAGCCATATTCGTCAGGCTAAGGACATAAACCTAGTGTTATCTTGGGAAGCAGCCCAAGCATTTTCTGATATGTTAAGCATATTGTGTTCCTACTTTCTGAATTTGCTTTGAAACTTCCTTGGGTTTGCTTTGAAATTTATTTTGAAATTTGATTTGATTTTTCATTTAGATTTGTTTTGAGCATTTTTTGTCATGTTGCTTTTGCAAGGATCGTATAAAGTTCATGGATTCTCAGTTGAGTGATTTGTTTGCATGTTTTTGAGCTACATATGTACAATGTCATTTTTTATTTAGTTGTGATTTGCTTACATTTTGTTGAGAATTAACTGTCATATTTAACAACATATGACATGTTGATTGCCCATTGTAATATTTTCTGAGATTAATTTGATTACTCCTGTATTTGCCCCTTCATGTACTTATTGTTACTTGATTTACCTATATTGCATGTTACATGTTATGAAAGAGAAAACAAGTTTGAGGGAGGGGGGAGTTTGAGTGTTTACTTTTTATGAGCCCGATAGCAGTTCACATATCTCAGTAAAAGACTAAAAATGTTAATATGGTAACTCCTGCTAGGAATTCTGATTCATTCAATCTGCCTATCAAAGGTTCTTTTAAAATGTTATAAATTTAATTTAGGAAAGATTAAGCTTAATGTTACCATAATGAGGTTTCATAACTTCATAAATTTTAACTACACCCAAAGAAAACTTAAGATATTTTAAAAGTGTCATTAAAGTATTAAGTAGCAAAACAATTTTTTTAATTTTTTTACTAAGCCAGTTTGATGTTGCCTTAACTTTTACTTAGAAAATAATATGAAGGGGTAACATCAAAAATAATTATATTTTTTAGACTTATCTCTTAGGGGGAACTAAACCTTCATAATATTTAAAAAGAAGTTCTACTGAACCTTCATGACCCATATAATGTTATCTTCAAGAAAGAGGTTAAGTAGGATGAAATTGGCTAGTTTCATTGAAATTGCATTAAAATATCTCACGTTAGTAAAAATATTTTAACTTCACTAATTTTTAATTTTTTTGGGATTTATTGGGGCCAAAACAAAGAAAATCAAGGAAAAACTCAATTATTAAACATTAAAAATAATCGACCCTTAAATGACATACATTTTTTTTTGTTAAGTTGATAAATAAGTTGAATGCTTTAGAAACATGCAGGAGTACCTAATATACTCTAATGGGGCCCCGCTCAGCTATGAGATTACTTGAGGGCAAGTAATGATTGTTTGGGGGTATTGATGCGACGTATATTTACGTAATTTTTTTACATTAAATATCATATTAATTATCTTATTTATCATCATATTACGATTGAGAAAGTATTGTTGTTTTTTTGTGTAGATTACATGACTTAAAGCATTTGGAAAAGAAAAATGGACGGATTTGGAGAAAAGAGATTGAAAAAAAAAGATTTCACACAAATGTCGCCCAGTTGCGCACACATAATACTCTTGGGACTGATACACATTTCTCTTTAACCGCATTATTACTTGACATGTATACTTGTGTTGTGCGGTCATCTTACTTCACAGTAAGTTTTGGCATGTCAATTAGATGGAATAAGAATAAAAAATTTTATCAAGGGTCTTCATATAAAAGTTTAGAACTAGATATTCAATTTGAAAAATAGTGATTTCAACGAATTAATGGAATTACCCTGTGATTACTATTCGCCCTGTGTACCAAATTTGGTCAATAAGCTTGATACTTCATACCTAGTCTAAGCAGCGGTCACAGCATTTTGCAAGCCTTTGAGATACCAAGAATAAGAAACATCCTAAGAGCTAGGGTTATATTTTCCACTATAGAACCATTGGATGATAAAGACTAATGTATGGCCATTACAAATCATCTAAAACCCGATGAAACCTACTCATAAAGTAATCACCTTGTTGATGGATTCTTTTTAGAAAATTTGGAAGATTCAAATTATCTTTCAATCTAAGATGCACCTCCTAAACTGGAAGAAGAGATCAGGTCGATAGTTGATAAATTAAAGGAAGTGAATCTAGGAACTCAAGATAACCTCAGACTGACTTTCATAAATTTCATTTTGAATGAGAGGGGGCTAAAGAACTAATTGGTTTGTTGATGGAATATAACGACCATTTCACTTAGAATTATGAAGAAATGCCTGCATTATCTCTTGACGTAGTAGTTCATAAACTTGAGATACAACAAAAATTACCCCAATTAAACAGACTCCTAAGAGAATGAGACTATAAATTGAACAAGTCATCCTCGAGGTCAAAAGATTGATCAATGTTGGTTTTATATGAGAAGAAAAGCACCCTACGTTGTTGACTAGTGTTGTGCTAGGAAAGAAATAGAATGGACAAATTCATATATTCATAGATTTCAATGACCTGGATAAGACATTGTCGGCACTATTTTTGGTGTGGGGTTT